TTTAGAGGTTAGGGTTTTAGGGTTTAGGGTGTAGGGGTTTAGGGTTTAGGGGTTCAGGGGTTTAGAGGTTTAGGGTTTAGGGTTCAGTGGTTTACGGGTTCAGGGTTTAGGGGTTTAGGGTTTAGGGTTTAGGGGTTTGAGGACCCTGAGACAGCCGAAACATCATGATGAGTCTCGAAATTTTTGGACACCGAGATCTGATGACTTCAACCCCAAACCGTAAACCTTGGCCCACCCTGTAACAGTCAGCGAAGCGGGAACCTAGGGTTCCCTGGACCTGAAACCCTAAGGCCCCACGAACCCTCAAGCTGCAGATCTTCCAAAACCCCCCCAAACGAAACGTTTTAAGGTTTAGGGTTTAGGGTTTTAGGGTTTAGTGTTTAGGGTTCAGGGCCCCTAAATCCTAAACCCCTGAACCCTAAACCCCTAAACCTCTAAGCCCTAAACCCTAAAACCCTAATTGAAGGGAAGCTTGGAAAGATCTGGTGGGGCCCTTAGGCTCAGGCATCTGCGAAGCTTCCGTCAGGTACGGAAATTTTCTATGAGCAGAACACCAACAACGTGAGTGATATGTTCCCACCAAGGCGATTGGGGTTTAGAGTTTAGGGTTTAGGGCCGTTAAGGGTTTAGGGGCAAACAAGCTCATCCATAAGCCCTTATCCTTATCCGCATTTGCACTCCTTTGTGCTACAGACCTCCATATGGTTGATGATATAAATCCTGCAGTACCCATAGTAAGGAACATATCATAATTCCCATAGCTTAGGGTCCTAAAGTAATGCAGGATTTTTATCATCAACAGTACTTCTAAAGCTGACGCATGGAACAGAGGACCCCACTCTCCCCTCCAACTTGAAACCCCACTTCCTCAACCCTGAAACCGACCCCCCAAACCAGACCCCAAGCCGTTAAACACCAGGGTTTAGGGTTGAAGTCAGGTAGCAACTCGGCTCACATGTCTGACATCTGGACAGCTCAAGTCCTAAACCACGGACACGTTGAAGGCAAGAACAATCAAACAAAAGTTGCTGCTTAAAAGTGCCCCTAAGCCCTAGAAACCCAAAACCCTAAACCCTAAACCCCTAGAAACCCTAAACCCGAAACCCCTGAACCCCCTACAATCCCTAAACCCGAAGCCCTTAACCCCGAGACCTGTGCCCTTGCAACCCGAAGCCGATCCATCCGAAGCAAGGCTATCTTTGTCCGTGAGAGGGCTTTGGGGTTTCGGGGTTTAGGGTCCAGGGTTTTGGGGTTTCGGGATTTAGGGTTCAGGGGTTTGGGGTTTAGGGTTTAGGGTTCAGGGTTTAGGGGTTTAGGGGTTTAGGGTTTAGGGTTTAGGGGTTCAGGTGTTTAGGGCTTCAGGGGTTTGGGGTTTAGGGGTTCAGGGTTTAGGGAATCGCCAAATGAGAGGGCAGCTTAAGATACATGATGCAACGGAATGGCCAATTGAGGGGGCGTTTTTCAGATATACGATGATCCGGAATCGCCAAATGAGGGGTCGTGTTCAGGATGTATGTTGAACTTGATTCGCCAAATGAGGGCGCCGGTTTAGGATATATGAGCACCAGCACCAGCAGCAGTGGCACGACAAGCGTAACAGCAGCAAGAAATAGAACGACAAGCACCAGCACCGGCAGCAGTAAAATCCCCCAATAGCCTGACGCACAGGCAAGCCCTTAAAAGTAGAGTCCCCCAATAGCTTCACGCACAGGCCAACCCTGAAAACTACGGTCCCCCAATAGCTTGATGCACAAACCAACCCTCAAAACTGGAATCCCCCAAAGCTTGACACACAGGCGAACCCAAACCATTGTCCCGCCAAGCTTTTTTTGAAAAAAGCCTCCTGCCAGACCTTTAAGCAAACACCCTCCACCGGTTTCGGGTTCAGGGTATTAAGCCCTAAACCCTAAGCCCTCCACCGGGTTTCGGGTTCAGGGTGTTGAGCACGAGTCACCAGGGCGTGGAACCTGTTTTCCCCGAGGTCCCTTCAATGGGAGCCTTAAGCGGGGTACCTTCATGTCGATTCCGTCTCGGGGAAGCCCGTGAATTAGGGTTTAGGGTTTAGGGTTAGTTAGTTAGTTTAGGTTTGAAGGTCCACAACCCCGAACACAAAGCCCAAAGCGTCAGACCAGTTTTGAAAGCAGAGCACGACCGCCTGGACCAGTTAGGAAAAGCAACATAAATCAGGAAGATGCAACCACACGACCCTCGCCAGATCCTACACGAAGCCCAACCCTGAAGCTGCGATTGAAGGTCCATAGGTAGCTGTAAGCACTATAAGCAAGGATAAGTTTGTCTCGGTGCTGTAAGTAGTGCATCTCTGTTCTGCCGCAGCCGCTTTTTGAGTGTTTTAGATATCGTCAAATTTTGGTCCCGTGCTGCCGGTAGACAATCATGGATCTGCGCCTCAGCTTCAACCCAGTATATATGGTTTCAGGTTGCCCTTCTCAGGGGCCCGCAACAAAGAACAGACACATCTGTTAAGGAATGGTCTTTGAAACCCTAAACCCTAAACCGTAAACCCCTAAACCCTAAACCCTAAACCCTAAACAAAGGGCTGGTGCATTGGTCCATGTCTCAAAAGGACAGTAGGACTCCGGGTCCAGGGTGTGGTGCGTCTGACGGTTCTTCCCAGACTCTCGGGAGGATCTAAAGAGTAGCCCGTAACTTGGGACCCTAGCTACTAAAGAGTACTTTATAGGACTCCCTTAAGGGATCTACTTTTTGTATCCTCCGGGGGGTCTGGGTATGTGCTTCGGGTGAAGGGTTATAGGCAAGGCTATGGAGGTTTCCGATAGCTTGGGGCCACTGCCTCAAAGGTATTTATGGGCTAGTCATAAGCTCCTACCACTCCGGCCCACCAAACCGACACCAGGAGCCTAAGAGCATAAATGGCATCCAATATCCCTAAGTTGTCGAAGCCTTATTACAAGCAGACCCGAAACTAAGACGTGGCCCCCTAACCCTAAACCCTAAACCTACTAAAAGTTGTGGTTTCCTCATTTCCCCAAAGGGTCCTAGGTACTGTTTTGGGGGGCTACTTCCCCAAGTCATAATAGTAATTCCTAATATAGAAACCCCACATCCTACTGTATAGATACCCTAAACCCTAAACCCTAAACCCTGGACCCTTTGGGTTCAGGGTATACCGTCATCCTTAAAGGGGACAGTTGGGCAATCGTAAGAGCTCCTCAGAGCCTTCCAGTAGCGCCCTAACCCGAAAAGGGTTTAGGAGTTCAGGGCTTTGGATTTTGGGGTTTTGGGGGCATAGGGCTTTGGATTTTGGGGTTTGGAGTTCTGGCGGTTTGGATTTTGTTTTTTTTTGGGTTTTGGGGGTTTGATTTTTGTTTTTTTTGTTTTTTTTTTGGTTTTTTGGTTTTGGGTATGAGAAGAGCCTATTTACAGTTTTCTAATCCGCCTATAGGATATTATATCTCTGTTTGAAAGCCAATGCTTCAAAACAAGGCCAATGTATTAAAACAGCGCGCGTGTTTTGAAATATTGGCCTGTCTTCAAACAAAGGCGTTAAAACAGGGACT